TCTGACTGCTGTCCTGCCCCCCCTTGGCGAAGCGTCTCTGCAGCGCCTGGTTCATGGACTGCAGCCCGGCGGGGATGTGCCTGTCCCGGCCCGGGGCCTGCTCCGACCCCACCAGCTTCTTCAGGGCGGAGAACATCTTCCCGCTCGGACGCGCGGCGAGCTCAGCGGCGGCGGCGGTGCGGCGCGCTCCGCACCATGTCCCGGCGGCCCGGGGCTCCCGAGGCCGGCGCCAGGCTTGTGCACACTGGGCGCCCGCCTAGGCCGACCCAGGCGGCCACACCAGCGTCCACCAGGCTCGGTTTTCCCCAGGCTCCGCGCGCGCACGCCTCAGTAGTGCTGGAAAAATTTTATTTGTGTAACAGAGTGTGCGGGGCTACTTCTTCTTCTTCTTGGTCACCTTGAGCTTCCCTTCGATCAGCCGCTGCGCCTGTTTCTTGATCTCGGCCCGCGAAGGCACGTAGCTGTGGTCCACGTCTGCAAACTGGAAGGTCTCTGCAGGGGCGGAGGCACCGGCTTGTGTCCGCCCCGCCCACTGCCCCGCTGGCCCCGAGCTCACCTGGCGTGTGCTCACCGGGGCCCCTGCTTTGCTTGGTGCACCCCTGGCCTGGCAGCGGGACACACTGCCGTCCAGGGGCGAGCACACCCCTAGACAGGCACAGCCCCCCGTGGGGAGCTGTCCAACCCAGGCCACCTCCTTGCCCCAACTCTCACCCAGGCAGTGTTTCTGCTGTCCCAGGTCACCCCAGGGCCAGCCTCACGGGCTGCCCTTATTCAAACTGCCCAGGGCCCTGTCCTCCCGCAGAACCAGGACAGGTCCCAGCCCTCCCCTGCTCCTTTCTGCAACCGGCAAGGCCCTGCTGGCCTGAGTGGGGGGCTCTTCTTCCATGGGTGGGACCTCCCTGTGCCCTCACCAAGTCCCCTCTGTCAGCTGAGGTCCCTTGTCTCTATAGGATGCTCAGGGCAGATGACAGTAATCACCACCCACCTCTGCCTCAGGTTGTCCCCTCCACCCCCCGCCTGTACCTATCATGTCCTCCTCTGTGTCCTCAAAGCTGATCCTGGTGTTGTGCTTCTCCTTCAGAGTTGAGGACTCCAGGGTGTCCCTCACCTTGGTGCCTACCTGCAGGGCAGAGCCCCTTTAGCTCTGCGGGCACAGGGTCAGTGCTGTGGGGACGAGAGCTGTGTGGGCACCTCCCAGCCCCGGATACCTCCTCGTTCTGGGAGAGCATCTTCACTCTCTCCGCCAGGTGCACGAGCTTGCCCTCACAGGTCACCAGCTTGCTGTACACGTCCAGGGCCGGGGAGGGTGCCACTTCCCTCTGGAGGCGGGAGGGGGGCTCACTCCCCGCCCCACCCAGGGCCTCCTGTGGTGCTCCTGCCCAGTGCCCTACCGGGGGCGGGGGCACAGGCCCAGGGATGCTGAGCAGCCGGATGTAGAGGTTGTCGATGCCCGTCTGGAGGGTCAGCAGCAGCTTCTGGCTCTTGGTCACATTGGTGTGGGCCAGCTGCAGCCGCTCCTGCTCCTCCTGCAGCAGGCCTTTCACCTTCTTCTCGATGGACTTGAAGCTGTGGAGGACGGCGGCACCACAGTGAGGCAGGCCAGGTCTCCCGGCCTCCAGAGCGTAGGTGGGAGGGGCTCAGGGATGCTCCTTCTGGGGTGCTGGAACTAGGGCACGTGGGCTGCTGTTTGCGAGGCGCCAGGGGTACCTGATGGAGCTGGGCATCTGGCGGAACTTGAGCAGCGCCGCTTCCAGCGCCAGCTTCCGCATCAGGGCCTCCAGCTGCGCCCGCCTGCCTTCGCAGTCTTCCAGCTGCAGCTCCAAGTTCTCCTCCGTGTTTCTTTGAGCCAGGAACCTGCCGGCGATGTCCTGCCAGCCCGAGGGAAGATGTGTGGGCCAGGGAGGGCAGGGGCTCCACACACCCAACTGCTTTGGGGCGCTCCCGATGGCTGGGCAGGCTTCTGCACCCAAGGCTCAGACCTGGGACAGGACCACCTTGAGGGGATGGTGCCCTAGGTCTGTGCAGCAGCCCTGAGGGCAGGCAGGTGGAAGACAGCGCACAGGGGGCACGGAGGTTGGCACGAGGGCTGTGGAGCCGCTTGATTACTTGTGGACCATGAACAGATTCACGTCGGGGCTGGGGGTGTGCGCCCAGATGGGGCTGGAAAAAGCGGGGGCAGGTGCAGGGCAACCCAGCCGCCCTGCAGCCCACAGCGCACGTTACCCAGAGGTGGGAGCACCGCACGGCACTCTTCACCCTCTCCACCATGGCGGTCACGTCTGTCTGGTACTGGATGTTGGCTACGGACATCTTTTTCTTCACTGGGCAGAGGGGAGCACAGGGGGGCAGTGGGGATGGTGCAGAGCTGTGTTTGCCTACCAGGGGGCCTCTGAGGGCTTGGTGCCCTTCTGAGCCGCCTGCGCCTTTCCCTGCTCCCTGCACACCCAGCCCTGCAGGGACCCCGGTGGCCCAGTGCAGAGGAGGGCGAGGAGAGCAGCGTGGCGGTCTGGGCAGCTCTGGGTCCAGGGCACTCGTGTTTTCTGACCGGGCCCTGGGGAGCTA